AATTTGGTGGTTTTACTAATTCCGACTTCAAACTTCTGAATATCGAATCAGAAATTGATTCTGATGAGTCGTTCTCGAGATACAGAAGGTTGAGGTGATACTACGCTTGTATGAACAAGTAGGTATGAAATGCGCTCCAATCACAAATGTGTGCATGGACACATGGATATGATAATTTATCAGCCCATGCGACTTACTTGAGCAATAACGGAGGTTGACCATCTTAGCATCCTTGAATGATATTCCTTCTCGTTGGCCAATTGTTTGTTGATAATTGGCATCGCGTGTTCTAATGGTGTCACTTAATTACACATTTATTTAATACAAATATATTATTTTGAATTTCACTTACTAAGACCAGTTTGTTGTGAAAGACTTCGGTCCATAATGCATAACAGACCCATAATCGTATAGTTGACCCATGTTGTCGCTTGTTGTTCTTGACCGCTTTTCAAAATTTCCTTCCGTTCCCTAAAAAAATAAATAAAATAATTAAAAATCATTCACATACTCGGATGATGAAGTTAGTACTGAGAGAGATATAGCTGTCTCTGTCATCGCGAGACTGTTCGTGCCACAATCCAAGAGCATGAAGAGTCTCATGAGCAACAATTCCAAGCTAAACATTCACATGAAAGATTTCTCTACTAATGGCTCTTTGATACTGAAACACATCCATAACCAATTGAAACTTGCTGCTTTCCTCCCATGCGTCCAACATTCGACCAACAACCATTTCCTCGGAAATAACGGAGACCGTCACTGCAAACGAATTCATTTCCTTTTTTTTCTGATCGTAAACAGGTCATTTCCAATTGGAAGTTAATCTCACTCTTCATGCTATTCACGCGTGGAGTTCACGCCAGTTTACGTGGAGGTCACGTAAACATGTAAAATATCATTTTAAATTTGGAAACGGTTACATGCGGCTGTGCTTATAATCTCACGTGATTAGTCGACGGTAAGTAGATCTCGTTAGAATTAAAAAATGGAACTGACCCTTGACCATTTTCACGGAAACGAATGCATGTGTTTGATTCTATGTGTCTCAGAGCACTTCGAATGGTTTGTTGCCATGCAGCTGAAACAACATTGTTATGATTATGCTTCTATTAACCAAAATCTCACAATCAGTGTAAGTTAGTTCATATGGAATGGTCGTCGATTTCCAGAAGTTGTTGGGATTTGGCAGAGCTTGTCTCTTCCCACGCTTGTTTTGGAAAGAACCTTAGAAACAATGAGATAGATAATATGAGTTTCATGACTCACTTTTTTCAGCAAGCAGGGCTTCAGCCTGAGGAAGTGAAAGAACGATGTCGTTTTCGAACACTTCTTCCCATATCTTGCGATTAGCTGTTGCTTCAGTACCGTCGTCTCCTAATGATACAGCGGCTTTCTCAATAGCGCTAGGATCCTTAAGTAGCATTTCACGGTAACTAATGCGTTAATGATTGTTGGTTGAGTCACTTACATAGTCATGACCGAACCGTCTAGCTGATCTTCTGTAGAACTCGCGCAACAGTTCCTTCACCTGGGCATAATCACTCACTACGTCGTTTGCAATTAACTGAACAGTTGTATTTTAATATCAATTTGAAAGAAGAACGATTCGTCTCACGTTAACAGCTATGGTGCTGGTCAAACAAAGCAGAACGAGGATCGGTGTTCGCATGTCCTGCAAGAAAACCTTTTTTTCAAAAAGAAATTTTGAGTTTGAAGAATACAAAGAGAGACAAGGATATGCAGATATTTTTTGAATTCTGTATTTAAATACTGAAATCTATTACTGTACTTTCAATACTCCGCCTACCTGAGGGCATTTGATCTGATGAAATCATCAAGGCCATTTGAGGTTACAATTTGTATAACAACAATAAGAAAAAAATGGATTAGAAGACGATTTGTCATATGAAATATAAATAAAACTGGGAATGCATTTTCCGGACGTGCAAATGCGAAAAAAAAATGAAAGGACGGACGGTCCTATATTGGAATTCTGTTCCTTATGTAGGGAGAAACAAATTGTCCGCAAAGCTAATCCTTTTAAGATAGTTTCAAATGAACTTATCATTTTCGTTATCAAATGAACTTTCGAAGAAAGAGGTAGCGGTCATGTCTATGTCAAAACGAATTCAAACATCTCAAAAATTCCGAAGAAGGTTTGAACCAGCTAGACATTAAGCTGGTCAGAGATCGGTTTGGAGAAAATCTGTAGGAATAAGTCCTTTGGACAAAAAGAAAAGTACAAGTAACTATCATAATCCTTTCTCTCTCTCTTCGTTCAAATAAAAAATCCTCGTTTTTCTTTTCTTTTTTTTTTGGTTTCCACTTGACCATAGCTGGTCAAACCTCCTCATCCTTCCGAAACCAATTATCTAGGTCTGTGCTCGATACGGCTAATTTCTTTCTCAAAAGAAGTAAATGTTGACTCTTCGAAATTTGATGATAGAATTCATGAATCAGCTTTAACCCAACTTCGTTAGAACTCTTGAGGCGAACTTTGAATGAGACATGCATAACAAGAAAAGCAATCTGCAAGATATGAGACAGACACGAGAGAAATGAAAAGTCATTTGAAAGTGCAATAGGAGGACGAAAAAGGCTAGAGTGATTGTAAAGCTTTAACATGAACGTATGTTTCATGTCTAACAAGATACCAAAAATGGTGGTAAATCAGATTATAGTTGTTTCACTACCAAACCGAATGAGGTCACTTCTCATGGTCGTCTCATCGTTTCGAATCGTACTTGAAATGGAGAAAGAAGAATCTCTAATTTTCTTTTTATTTTCAATTATTTGTTAGAAGCATGGTTGGAGAAAAATAAATATTTGAAATCAAAAATGGTAAATGAATGGATTTGAGACGTTAATCGGCGATCAGAGATATCCCGGTTGTCTCAACGACACGCGCGCACCCACCCTTCCCTAGTAGAAGCTCGGATTCCTGCGGTTCATGATATTCGTCTTGTCAGGATGAAACACTCAGCATACGAAAACGAACTGTGATCAAGAGGGAGAGCTGTGAAGCAATATGGAAGATGTAACCTTGACTTAACAGCTCTTTCGACAAAAATACACTAATTTCAGTTGACTTAGACTGAAATCAATCTGGGACCAAATAAGGAGATTGCTAATTCGCATTACCAAAGGTGTCAATATTTCCTAAAATTCTATCTGATCTCACACCTTAACAAGTTTTCTTCAACAATATTCTTTAAAATATAAAATGGTAATTTGAAAGAAATTTTTTTGCATTCAAACATCGTTTTTACTGAAACATCAGAATCAGTTGTGTCTTTGACCCTAATTCGGTAGTGTTTCGAGCTACACACCGAACTTACAATTGAAAAGTACAATGAAGAGACAAGCTTATGAGAATGGAAAGGGTGTGAGAAGTACTAGAACTGTTGTGTTGGTGAATGAAGCTTGTACAGTCTCCATGCTGACAATAGATTATAAAACTATCTGAAAGGAGAAGAAAGTGTCGTACACAAACGTTATAATTTCAGATTGTGAGAAGCTTCCTCATGACATCATCTGTTCCTTCCTTTCATGGGAGGCTTAGACCTTTTCAATGGAACAGATGCTTTTTCAAACAGAACATGTATGTTGATAGAAAAAAAAAGTTTTTTTCCCACATTTTTATCATTTTTGCCAAATAAAATAAAATTAGGACAAGACATTTGCCAGACCACCCGTATAATGCTGATGATGATGACGACAACGTTTCAGACGGACGACGAGAACAACGCTTCAAGAGACACCAGAATACTCCGACGACATAATCGATTAGTGTCATTGAGATCTTTTCTATAAAAAAGAAGACAACACATTCTGAAGCTTTTTGCCCGAAAAAAGAACTTTGTACGGTTTTGATCATCCAGATGATACATCCACGACGCACATCGAAATCGACTGACGTCTTTTGGATGAGTAAAGATCATCAAAATCTGAAGATAACGATAGATTTGTAGAAAACAAAAAGATTTTCATTTCCATAAAAAGACAAGAAAAACGAAATAAAAAAAGAAAAGGATGAATGAGTGAATGACGTTCGGAGTACCCATATGCACGCGTATGCTGATGAGGATAAGCAGTATGCTGCTTCAAGTGTTACTTGTGAACTTGAACCTGACGCAGAAGACAAAAACAAAAACACACAATACGGAGACGGCTATGGTAATCAGGAATATGATTCCAACTCCAAACTGTAAATACATCCGTCGAGCATGAGCTGCATATGCTGATAATCCAATGAAATATATATAAAAGAATAAAATTGTAGATTAATACCTTGTCTCTGATAGTAAACAGGCTCCGTTAAACTTCTCATCAGGTATTGCTGAGTTTGAATGTTGTCCATTGAAGATCGGACAGGAGCATTCTGTTGTGGAGTGGTAGAAGCTTGTGGCTCTTCTACATCATCGATCGTTCTGTAGAATTGAGTAAAAGTAAATAGTAAACGAGCAAAATGGGTGTGAACATGCTTCAGGAGGAATGGAAGAGCGTATACTCCAGAGAAAGCAATCTCATTGTAGTTCTAATGATGAAGCTCAAAAAAGGAAATTGACAAACCTCTTCATAATAGGGCGGCGGCAGCTAGCAATGAGCACATTGATTCAACTGAATTCTTATCCAGGTTGTTTGATATTTCATTTCTGTCTCTAATCACATGCCTTTCTCTGTCTGTTAAATCTCTTCTAATCTTATTTTCTTTTCTCGTTTTCTTTGTCAGTCTCACGCGTTTTCGCTTCTCAATAATTACGAATTGAGGAAAGGTGTTTGTTCGAAAGGTTTTGTATGTCGCCGTTAGCAACGCCAAGTGAAAAGCCCAAAAACCTCGTTATCCAATCAAATAACAGCCTTAAAAACTTTTTTTTTTCTAAAAAATGTTTAGGAAAGCATGCATTTTATGAAATATTGCTTGAAGTCTAGCAATAGCAACAGCTGCAAGGAAGGAAAAAATGAAAGTATGAATTGGAGACACAACAGGCCAAAGAAGGAAATCTTCAAGATGCAGCTTTCATGAGAAAAGTATAATCCAAGCAACATCTTATTTTTCACTTGAATCCTCTTGAAGACAAAATTTCTCCTGTACGATTATGAGGTATGAGGATCAAGTCATGAGACACAACAACACATACCATATCATCTAATAGCTCTTCTTGATAGTTTTGCTTTGTCCTTTCTACCACTAGTGAATCTCTGAAATCACATAACCATCACATAGACTTAGACATCTGCTAAAAAGCATTTTTACGATGAACTGTTGAACGTTCCATGCTGAGTTGCATTCTCTTGTTTACTTCAAAAAACAAAAATGGCATTATGATGAATGAGATTGATGATGACAACAAACCGATCGATAATCTCTTTGACTGCTCTATCATTCTCCATTGTAATCTTATCTAATTTACTTTCTATAATTAGATGGCTATAAATAGAAATCACAAAACAAGAGTTCAGAATTTTACTCGGCTTATGAGATTTCGGCTGAGAAGGCTTTCTCAATGGCGTTTGTTTCGACTTTTCATGATTTTTTGAAGTGTCTATTGAGGAAGGGATGCTATTCATTAGATTCAGAAGTTACATGAACAAACCTCTTCGCTGTTTAGACGATCTTCGACGAAACATACGAGACTTGGATTTGATATGTAACGGAAGCAATTTCCGTCTACCACCACACATCTCTGAGATTCGTTTGAAAATGAAAACAATGCTTCTCGTCTAATTAGCATAATGTTTATGAGTTCCGCGAGTTTCTGATCCAGCGTGATGTTTGGGAATACAAATGTCTCTTACAATTGAAAACTGTGCAACCGCTCTCTACTATTGTCATTTTAAAAATAGTTTTTTCACGTGAGTGACGGGGGAATGTGTCATAACCATGCCTATGGGTGTTGATTTGAAAAGTGCTCGATTAGCATAACCTATAGATGAAGAAGGATCGGAAAAAATTTTCTTGATATGCAAGATGGACACAACATCAATTCTTGTGTTTGTAACATCAACTACCAAGGGAGCACTATTTCAAGTTTCGCTTTCACACCCGATTATATGGTTTGATGAGCTGAGAATGAAGTCTTGTCAATATCCAACATATTCTTTAAATTTTTATAGCCATGAGATATTCTTAAGCATTGAAGATACTTATTTGATCCATTTGATACTTCCTTCCCCATCACCCCACCCAACTTCCCCTCGAGAATTTTTTTTTCTTATTCAATATGTATCTTTGGAAGTCTTAAGTTCATTTTCTGTCCATCTTCTTCTCTCTCTCCCTCCCTCCGTCCCTTCCAATGATTCGACTTTTGATTTCTCAGAACATTCCCTCTCCTTCACTCAGTCCTGTTTTGTTTTTTTAGTTCCTCTCTTTCATCTTCTAATCATTGAATATTTTTGGAAATTTTCAAACAAAACTTGTGTGTGAAGTCAATGAATACCACACATTCCATTCTTATGTATTCATACAAGCTTTACTGGCCAAATTTGGCAGAAGAGAAAGAAAAAGAACCAAAGCATCCTGATGGCCAGTCAGAGAGAGAAGAAGAAGAAGGGATTACAAGATCTTGAGCTGGTACTCGTTACTGATCGAATTATGCTAGATGGTGGACTTCTTTACCAAAAATTTTTAACTAATTTAAATTTCGAAAGAAACTTCTTCTCTCGCCCTCTCTCTCTCTCTATGCCTTACTCGTTAACTTCAATCGTATTTTGCTCTTTTCTCATCCTTCCTCTTCTTTCCTTCTTCCTCCTTTCAAGACCTACAAGTGTTTTCTCATTACGTTTTTTAGACTCTCTCAATTAGTTACCGATTTTACACTTCAATTATCCTTTGTGTTAATGACTCTCTGTGATCTTCAAAACCGTTTGGCCCCAAGAATAGCATTGGAAACGCGAAAACGTAAAATCAGTCTGAGAATTGAGAAGTCTCTCGAGTGTTCATCAACTTAGAGCTTTTTCGCTTTTTTTTTCCTGCTGACCGAATGAATCTCTGCTGAAAATCTTTTAAGACTTCGTTTAACCCTCTGTTCTGATTGGAAACGAATCACTCTCTAATCCTCTTCCTCCTCAGAGTTGTCGGAAGGTGTGAGTGTGTGTGTGTGTATGTGCTTCAATTGCAAAAAACTGTGTTTCTCTCATATTTTTCGTCTCCTCGCTTCTTCAATTGCTTTATGACATGATTCCCTTAGGCGTTTTAACTTACTCAAGCCTACAACTTGACAATCGGTCGAATGAGTCCTCCTAAGAAACAGATATTTTTCTTTCATTTTCAATGAAGAAGAAAGCAATTTTACCCAAAACTACAACAACATTTAGGATTTTTTAGTATTTGACATCATTCGGCTATTGCTACGTCCTCCATGTGCTTCTCCTTTTCCTTTTCTGTATACACATTACTACTTTCTTCCCCCCTCAAACCCTTCTCTCCCTCTCCCTCTCTCTCTCTCTTTTCATTTTTCTTTTTATAAACAATTTTCCTGCCATTAGATGAACGTACAATACTAGTCTCACAGCCTTTAACCTGAATTTTTATTTCAAAACTACTACCTTTTTCTCCATGAAATATTCATTTGGATCTTCTCTCTCTCTCTTTCCCTCTCTCTCTCTCTCTCTCTCTCTCTCTCTGTTCATTCCAAGGCGAATTGTCTGATTTTCATCGAAATTTCTAAGGAGCAACAGCTAATGTGTCGTTGCTGGGCTAATCCAACGTTGGTAAGCTTCTGAGCCTCATTCGTTCGGAATTCAATTAGCTGTCGTCCCGTAAAAAGCATCAACTTCCTTTCCGGAAGACTTTCCTCTGGTTGTCCTCATTTCTTCAGTCTCATCGTCATCTCAAATGTATTTATCAAACTGAGAAACATTGAGCCTACACATTGCAACTTGCTAGAAGTTGTGAGTGAGGTGAAGAAGAATCTCTGATCAGTTGAGACTACTTCGTTGAAGTAATGTCGAATGGACCGTTTGGATAGAAACGTGTCAAAGAGTTATGAGAGCTATAGAAAGGTGCAATGAGTTGACATATCTCTTCTTAATTCTTTTTGAAATTAGAAAAGATGAAAGAGCGACAATGAACTCTCTCTCTCTCTATCTCTCTATCTCTCCCTCTCTAACTCTCTCTCTCTCTCTCTCTCTGACCATTGTGTATTACTAAATATCATAAATATTCAATGAATTAGCACAACCATTTTTAATATAAAAGGCCTTTCAACCACATCTCATTAATCATTTCATATCAAAGTTCCTAATTCATTCCTCTTCCTCTGTCTCCTCCTCAAAGGTTATCTCTTATGAGCTGAACGCACATACACATACACACACACACACATATCCACACATCCACATCCAGACACAGCCGACCTATCTATATATTTTTAAAAATTTTCACCTTTACGTATAGAATTTCTATCTCTTTCTCTTTTTCAATTCTGTTTATTGAGTACGTCAGTACTACAATCTATTCCCATAATGACATCCGATACAGCTTCTACAGCTTTTACCTCAATCTCCCCCCCCCCTCCACCCTCCACTCTCAACCCCACCCCTCTTCATCACCTTCTTTATAAAGCTTATACTATTAATATCTATCTAAACCTGTGTGAAGGCTTTCTGTAGTTCCTGTTTCTTTTCCTTTAACGCCTCTGTTGCATCTCTTCCTGAAACCAAAGCTTTTCCTCTTTATTTTTCTTTTTTGTTTTGTTTGGATCATAACAGACGAAGCAGAAAGTCGTTTTGCATTTCATACAGAACTCATTGCTTATGAATCTTCTCCCAAACTGGTGTTTCTTCTCAATATTTCATGAGATAATATTTAATTAATACTATTATTAACAATAAACTTTATTGCAAAACAATAACTGTCCCTTCTATTGTCATTAAAGCGATTCGATGTCTCCGCCTTCTCTCTCTCTCCCTCTCTCTCTCTATATCTCATTGCCAACTTTCTTCTACAAATCTTCAACTCAATCAAATCGCCCAAACAACAAAAAAATAACAAATATTTCAACAATAAATCCAATTCGCCTTCATCGTTTATAAAAAAAAAAAAATTTCCGTTCGCGTCTCTCTCTCTCTATGCTCTTCGTCTTCAGCAGCAATGAGTTTACACGTTCGCCTCCTTTCCCGAGGAACTATACCGTCACACAATGAATTGCTTGATGAAAGGCATAACGCCATGCTTGATGATTGTCTGTTATGTGATTACTCTTGTCATAATTACAAATCTATTTTTATATTTATTGTTTGTCAGCCATTTTTCTCTATTCATCATCTTCAATTCTTTAATTTAATTGAGCAAAATCAATGAGAGAAGCTGTTATTGAATATTATGTATTCAAAGCTGATTTCTAAGCAATGAAGCTTACAAATTTTTCTTCTCATTTCCACACTTTATAAAAAGCTTCAAATGATCTTTTCCCCTCCCCTCTATCTATCTCTTTCTTTCTCTTCATCTCTTTCTCTCTCTATATATATACATGATATCTCTCTCTTCCTCCTCTCTACCACCCCAAAAATGCATCTCAATTATTCTGTTCCAATTCCGACTAGCAAAACGATGATGACGTTCAAGACAATTCTCAATGGCATTTTTAGAATTTTATTTGTTTTTTTAATGTTGTGTAATCACACACACACACAGACACACCACATACTCTCATACAACTACTTTTTTAATTTTTTTTTCCAAAACTTTTGATCGTTTCTTTATCAATCTGTAACCGTCATCATATGCTTCAGTGATTTATTCAAAATACGTGTATATGCTAATGAGATGTAGCCACGTGGCGTGTGAGCATCATGCAATCTTTCATTTCATGATAAAGCTGACGCGGTTACCGGTTGTCGTTCGCTATCTTGCTATCTTGCTACATCTTCTTCATTTACATTCTCATCCTATCCTAATCCACTTTCTAACATGTCTGTTCTTGATCTGGCAGTTTTGTATTTTTCCTGCTCCTTCTTCCCTCCCCTCTCTCTCTTTGCCGACTTCTTCTTCATCTACGAAGCTATGAAGACGATGAAAACAAGGAGATTATCCTAATAATACGCTATTATCATTATATTATCAATGGAAGTCTTCTAAATGTCTCATTTATTTATCAAAATACTTTTTTGAATGTTTTCTTTTCATTCTTACTTTGAAAGGCAATCTTCTCGTCTTTTCTTGGAATAGTACTCTCTCTCTCTCTCTCCCTCTCATTCCCTCTCTCTCTCGTGCATTCCCTCTCTCTCATTCCATACAAATCGCAACTTTTCCATTTTTAGTACAATATTATTCTTTAATGCTGACATCATTTCTCTTTTCTCACTTCTCAACATCTGGTAGTTCGTTCTTCGTTTGCTCGCAATCTTCTGATAACTTGCTTTGGACGGCATCAGACATTCCTAATAGAATCTCTTTGATTTTTCCTCATTATACATTCCGACTCCATTCCGTTTTTGGTCTCTCTTCAAAGCTTTACCAACAAAGCCGATAACAATTGCTTCTCAGTTTGTTAAGTATGGCTTCTGGAAACATGAGAAGCCATGAAGCTACGTTCAGGAGCACTTCTTATTTTCCCACAGGCAACATGCATGTTTCCGTTTTTTTTGTCTTTTCGGATTACCATCCTTCAATAGCTTTCATGCCTTTTCTCATATTTCCTTAAATCTACTCACTGTGTAAGAAACTAAAGCTTAAAAGCCCGATCCCACTTCCCTTCAAGATAAAAATTGAGAAATGAAGATAGAAAGAGAGTGATGAAGAGAGAGAGAGAGAGAAGACTACCTTGTGTATATCCTTTGAAGGATTTCTTGGCAAAAAAGAAATTTTTCTCTGTTATTTCACAATTCTTCCTTCAGTGCCATTGTACAATGGTTGTCAATTCCTTTCTTCTTTTCTTGAGAGATTCGTATTTCCATCTGAATATTGAACTTGATAATTGTATGGAATTGTTGTGATTTCATTTTGTATTTTTAGCTTTCTCGATATAATACTTTTACCTCTTTATTTCTGTCGCGTTCACGCTTCAAAGCCGAGTATGAATAGCTGTGGGGGTCATAATGGATCAACTACGAACATATCTACTCATTTATGAGTTGAAACAGAGCAAATTGGAGTTGGATGGCTGAGTCTTCTAATATTGCGAGGGAAACTGAGGCTGAAAGAGAGTTCGGCATGTCAAAGAGAAAATACTAAAAAGAAAAATGAGAAATAGAGTGTGTGTACTAGAAATAGGAAATACAGCAAGAGAGGGAGAGCAAGATTAGAAAGTAGAATCGGTAGAAGCATTGCTATGTGTTCATCTAAAGGACACACCTCATTCTCTAGTTTATGTCATTCGCATCATATGTTTTGTTATTATCTTTTCAATCAAATAATTTATTTGTTTATAGTTAAGTGAAGAAGACATCATGCAATACTTTCTCCCAATTATGTCATTATTATCATTTGCTTGTATGTGGACGACAGTCGTTCAAGCACGAGCAACATCACGGCGAGATGACTTGGCTGTCGTTCATACATTCGATACAAGGGAGATGTGTATGAGCAGGTATGAATCATTCTCTCTCAATAGTTTGAAATGAATAAATATGTCTGAATTTAGATGTCGCACAACTTGTACTCACCATCATTCGGAAGATCTCATGATGCCCAGATGGCAATGTCCGTTACAGGTAGCTTGAACATAAATTTCTTCAACAAAAACGATTTATGTGTTCATGATGTCTGTGTGGGTGTTTTATTGTCGAAACATATTTTCTTGACATTTTTTGATTGCTTAGAACAAGCCTTTTGAAATCTTTCCAATTGATCTTCGTTTGAACCAAAAACGGAAATTGCATCGTCTTCCCTTAAAGTGCTTCAGAAGGCTATGGAGAGAAGAGCTTCATGTCATTCTCGTCATCATCGTTTATATTTCATTTTATACAAATTGCCCTAATCAAGCAATCATCCGCTTTTTTCTCTTCTTGTTCTGACCTCTCTTGGATGTCAATGGATGTAAGCTGATCGTGTAGAGACGTAAGTAGATCAATCGAAACGACAAGCTTTCCATCAACTAGTCAAAACTCTGTATGAACTTCTCCATATAGAGTAATGAAATCGTCATACAAATGCAAATTCATCCTAAGTCCATCCATCAAGAAGTTTGTCGCACAAGATGAATGCAGCTGTACAATTGAAACAAAAACTTCTTATGGAAAGATAGATATTTCCTTTCACTAACTGACTTAACTGATTAATTACTTTCGCTTGCTCCCAAGAGAGGGATTTTCTTGAATTTAGCTAAGCTTCACACCCCATACTATCCAGCTTCGTATGTCCTTTCACAAAATCCCCAAGATAATGCTCTTTCCATCCTCTTTGTCCTTCACTTAGCACAACGACGTGAGTGATTGTTTTAAAATTAAAGAAAAGAAACATATAGTTTGAAGCAAAAGCTAAATTTCATAATCGGAAGCATGGAAGAGAAGGCTGAGAAATGAATTCCGTTGTGTTAGTGAACACTCACAGACACAAAAAATATATTTCAAAGTAATTATCAGAACTATTATATTGTTGAAGAAATGATGCATATATGGATGTATATGAATATCTTGCAGTCCTTATAGAGTAGTGCTTTCCGACTAAACACATTCATTCAAGTTCGTAATCGTTTCTGTTCGGAAGAATCATTTGTTGTCATCAATCGAGATGTCAAGTCGTAGGAGAAAAAAAAACGACTGAAAAAGAAAGAGCCGTACATGGTTAACTATTATGTTTCACATAGTTAGTCAGATGTCTTATCGTTGAGATCATTGAGAGAGTAATCGGATACTATATGAATACTTGAGAGAGAAAGAGCAATATGATTAGATGTTTATGTGGAATGCAACCGCTCTACAGTTCATTGAAAATCAAAATGAAGTCGTAGCAACAACGATAGCATACATTAGCATAGAGATTAGCATATTCATATACGTGTATGTTTAGGAAGACGATACGAACTTCATGGATGAAGAAGAAGAAGACTTGTTAACATCAAATCTGTTATTCATCATTCCAACATTACTAATTGGAAGTGTGATATTCCTGTTTGTATGCATCTCTTGTGTTCAACGATTTTGTAAAAATGATTATTAATGGTTATTGCATCATTGGATTACTCAACAAGCATCAAGTCAGGATTACAGGTCAATCAGGGTATTTTGAATCTTTACTTCACTCTCTCATTCTCTCTCTCTCTCTCTGTTACTCTTATTCATATATTTGTTCTCATTACTTCACCTCTCTCTCTCTCTTTCTCAATCTCCGTCTCATTATGAATATTCACAGTTGTCTCTAAGTATTTCCAATTTCATTTTACGGAAGATTAGTCTTAGCTTTCAGCTTTCAATGTTATGATTGTATAGATATGGCATAAATTATTATTTTCTTTTGTATTTTAGAAAGTTCTCTTCGATAGCTTCTACTAGTTAGAGAGGGCGCGTCTAATGAATGAAAGGAGGGAAAAAACAAATTTGGAGAGCAATTCCCTTTATTATTCCATTAGATATTCGTATTTTCGATAATGTTAATAGCAGTAAGCAATAACTTTTCTACTATTATGAAGGAAAAAAAAGTTTTTTTTTGTGATTGCGGTCCCCACCTAACCTTCCCATCCTCTCTCTCTCTCTCTCTCTCTCTCTCTCTCTGAACTGTTTGAGAGAGAAAGTGAGAGGAAACAAGCAGTTGCGATAAGTTTACTTATTCTATTGACACAAAACTGGTAGTTGAGCTGTACGACTCGTCTGTCTCTTCTCTCGGACAGTACGTCGAGTCAATATGAAAATAATATTAAAAGAAACCTCTTTCCGCATATGAACAAGTGATTGAAAGAAGCTTAAACGGAGGACGTTTGAATATGAAAACACGGGAGAAGCGGATGGAGAAGAGAGAGAGAGAGAAAGAGAGAGAGAGAATGATGTGCGAATAAGGAAATCTGTTAAAGACATCTGAGGCACAAGATAGGGGCAGAAAGGTTATGCAGCACATGATCTGACAAATATGTCTTTTTCATTCATTTGTAATTAAAAAGAACAAAAGAGAGTTCATAGCAAATCTACGTAAACGTTGGTCGACACCATAAGAGAAGGCGAACGGAATTGAAAATGAATGAATTCAAACTACAGCTGATCGTCTGTAATTTATTTATTTTGCCATTTCCAAACTAATTTGCGACAACTCCAAGAATTACCAAAATATAAAAACCAAAATACCTGCAGCTCTCATAGAGAGCCTTTTCATTTTTCTTTCTAAATTTGCTGTTCTGCTTCTCACACAGGTTACAGCAGGACTTCCTTCGTCTGATAGCTGCTGACAGCAATTTGAGGATTGTAAGTGAGTTGGTTATGAAAACAAAAAGTTCATCATTACTTATGTCCATTGCATTTTATAACTGTCTCTATCACCAAATCGTCTTCATCTGAAAACACTTTTTGAGATGACGCAGGGCTCAGCGACGTCAATTCATCTCATCCAACCACTCGACTCAAGTGAATATGCAAGAACACTTCGCTTGTAATATTTCCTGAAACTTAGAATTTCGAAAGTTTCTGCATTCGTTCGCTTCTCCAAGTAGGAGACATAGCCTCATGAACTTTCTTCTTCTTCTGCTTCTTCTTCTTCGCAACTTCTACAATAACAGAGAGTATGAAACTCAGTGCTAAACACCCCCTCCTACTCCCCCACTTAACTGTTTTAAGACCATTTAAGCTGATTAGATGAAAACAATGAAGTTGAAAAGACCAAAGCTGAATGTTAGGTAGACGTCATTCCAATTGCGTGGTTCTAGTCATAGAAGGAACAACCGAATCACATGTTAAATAGTTTTTATCCAATTGTCAAAGCTGCAAGCCATAGCCATTGCTTAAGCTGATCATAGGTTTCAATCGTTTCCTTCTTTCAAAATAGAATTTTTAAGCCATTTTCAATTATTCTCTTTAATAATTCAAATATTTAATGAAAATTCTAATAGCTTATAATTGCTTTTGGAAAGATGGACATTCATCAACATAGCAACTAGCTGCTAATTCACTTTTGAAGCCGAAAAAACCTTTTGCTGACCCGTTACTGGTCATCCGATTTCAGTTCATTCTATTCATCAGCAGCATCTCATGAATTATTATTATTCTCTCTTCTCCATATCTTACTCTCTTAAAACTTCAGAAACACAGATGACATGTCTTTTTTAGTCAAAGCTTCACACATCATTTCCACATATGTATATGCCCTCCAACATAATTATCATTTGGTCTTCAGAATCATTCTTCTCAGCTCTTGCTCACTTTTCGAACTCTTCTGCTTTTCTATTCTTGAAAGTCGATTCTACATGACAACTGCAATAGTTCTCTCAACATATTGTTTTTATGCTAATTTTCAGTATGCAATGATCCACGTAAGTGCGACGTGAACTCTGCTCCACCTCATTTTGCATACTTGTTGTAGTACGGACCGGTTGCTTTTTAGGAATTTCATCTATTTTCTTGGAACATTCACAATATTTTTTGAAAACAAAACTTCTTTCTCATTCTCAAAATTAAAATTTCAAACTCAGCAATTCCTTTTTCGTCCTAATTTCATTTCTGATTGCTTTCATTGCAATGCTAATCTTCGAATCTTAGATTAGAACTATGAAAACGAATATGTCTTTGTGTCTCTACAACAGTTTTGTAGGTTGCGTCTCTCTCTTAAATATGCGATTTATCCTGCTGATGCTGTTGTACCTATTTGCCTTATCCACCATACATGGTAATGTTCAAAGCCAATAAGATTCAAATAACATTAAGCTATATAGCTCGCTTCTGTGAAGAGACACGTGATTGCGATCCACTTTTCATCTGCGTTGATCAAGAATGCATCTGTCGGTTAGATTATAATCTTCAGCCAGAATGATCTTTAAAATCTGATTTTAGGTTCGGGCAAACGCCCTGTAGACCACCTCTGTTCGGATTTGCTCCTCTGAATGCTTTACCACGATTCCATCAAGATCTCTCACAACGACCCTACAACTTCCAATAGAAACTAAGTTGAACCTAGTCAAAGCTTGAAGATCTCATATCAGCCTTAATCTTCAAACATCATGTTTGCATTGAACTAATTGGATTTACAATAACAAAAAACCTTATAATCAAATAAATAATTTATTATGAAGCAACAGTTAAAACATGAGAAAAGAACATTAGGACAACATTCTGAATATGCCAAGCATTGCGAAACCTTTCCCTACTTCTTACATGAGTCGAAACTCTCATTTACATTATCACTTCGCCTCTCTGACTCTCTAGGCTGATGAAACTTTCAGAAATATGCTACCGCGCTTAAAATACAATCAAAGCTACTTGTTAGACCACAACCACATAAGATTTAAAACTTGTAAGAAGAGCAAATGAAAGCGAGAGATGTTTTGCTATGACCGTTTCAAGAGAACAAAAATTCAAAAAAAAAACATACTAAAACGATCAAAATATCAAAAACACAACTCTGACATGTCGTTTCTCATCATCACACCTCTGCTCTTTCGCGTACACTCACATCCCTAGACTAGATAAGCTTTCAAGTGAGGTCAACTCACCTTTTTGCAAAAGCATCAGTGTTAAGGAATCAGCTTGAAGAAGCTCCATTATTTGTATGAGCAAAACGAATGAAGAGGGAGGGAGGGTAGAGAGAGAGTAAGGGGAGGGAGGGGGTAGAGGGATGGGAGAGGGGGAAGAGAGAGAGAGAGATGGAGAAAATTAAAAAGGAAGAGGAGGAGATTAGTAAAATATTTATTTTATGAGAAGCCAATCAACACCAACAGGAGCCTTCCTCGGTTTGGATCTGTCTTTGCTTAATAGGATCCATGTTGACAATGGTAGCTGAACGATACAATTATTAATATTAATAATTTATAATAAATAAGTTATAAAACAGAAGCAGGTATAATGCATGCTTACGATACATCACAAATGACAAATGGCGGTTAGAAATTTCCCTAAACCGGTAGTAATATCATGTACATACGAATTGATGAGCTTCGTTTGAAATCATGCAAAAAGCTATAAAAAAAATGTGTTAAGGTGCTGTGAATAAAGCTCGAATGCAGGCGTTATCATTCCTTCCAGAACCATTGATGATCGTGTTAGCAACTACAGGCAGAGCTTTCCGCTGCTTGCGTTTGTTCTTCGTGCTTTAGCTTAATCTCTTCGGCTGTAAATTACAAACACAAATCAGGCGCAAACGGACGATGACGGAAGTTAGAAGTCAACATGCTCTTAGTAACAATGAAGCGAAATGGGACTTACTGTTATCGTGACGTTCGTCTTCCTTGATGATTCCAGGTAAAGCTCCGGCAATTCTACGGAAAAGCTGAACGAAGCAATATGAGGATGGGTGAGAATGAAAGATAACAAACTTGTTTTACGTTGTATCCAGCCTTGGCTGAGGTTTCGATGAACATGACATTGAGCTCTTTGGCTTTTCGTTCTCCTTCATCAGTGGTCACTTGTCTGCAAAGAAGAATGTATAGTCAGAGAAGGTCAAGGAATGAATCTAACCGTTTATCGCTTAAATCTGTTTTGTTTCCAACTAACATAATAATCACATCACTTCCACGTTCAGTACGAACATCATCAATCCACTTAGACGTTTGGTGGAACGAATTGGAATCTGAAAGGTCACACATATAGTTACAATTGATGACGAATAGAGGAACACATCAAACGCTATGTGTTTTGTTTCTATACATGTTTCCATATAAATCGCATGTGTAATGGAGAAGGAACGGAAAGATGGGAAAATCGAACTCCGAACTTCGTAACAACTAGAGAAGGTCAGTTATGATAGTGTGAGTCGAACTGTCAAATAAGGAGAAAGCGTAATCTGTTAAGATTAATGCAAAACAACAGAAAGTGAAAATCAAGAGAAGGCTAATGATACCAATACTGAGTATGGAAAAATTTCGAAAGTAGGCTATGGAAGAGGAAAACGACTGAGTTTCCTTGCGTAACGGGAATGATAGTAAGTTTGAAAACAGTCATGACTGACTTCGCATGTCATAAAATCGATCATATGAGGCAAACGATAGCCCTTATTTGAATTTCTAACCATGAACCGAAGAATTGGTTCGAGAAACATTCAACAGGCATGAGGATATGAAGTTATCAGATCGATTAAATCTTCAACTGGACAACTCAACATGATGGGATGTGAAAAGAGAAGAGAGTATTCTATTGGGACAATAAAATCGAATGTATTAAGGATAGACCCATAGAACTGAGTATTACACGGAACTTGGATAAGCTGAAAGGCTTGCACATAACAGAACAATAACTTTTTCCTTATTTGGAAGGTGAGGATGCTCTAACAAGAGTGGAAGAGCTAAAATAGGAGAGAAGGGATAAGAAATATGAGGAAAGCCGGATGATGAAGTACGCTTTGATCCTTTGTCAGTTTTCTTTTTGTGCTTAAGGATCAATGATGAGCAACGAGGAGGAGGCAAAGAACAAGAGAACAATTCGTGTGCAAGCGAGTAAAATTTCTTTCGGAATAGTGAAGTAATGACTGAATTTGAGAAAAACAGAGTTACAAAGTTGATTTAACGTATAAAAGCAAAAGTCACAAACAAAAAAGGAGACGTGGTTAGTCAATCGAAAGATTCGTAAGATTCAAACTTACTCTAGAAAGTACCTGATGGGGAAAGAGAGAGGTTAGCTCTAAAACCATAAGAGAAAATTTAAAAACGAAGTTCATGATGAGAGAAGGATAGCTTTCGATACACTTACTTGTTATGAAAATGATGAAAACAACCTACTTGTTATGTCATAAACAACAACAGCAACAGTAGAATCCCTAATGTACGATGGAATCAAAGAACGGAAACGTTCTTGACCTGCAGTGTCCCAAAGTTGGAGACGAACCTAACGAACAAATTAAAAACTGATCTGAACAACTGTCTTACTGTTCTGTCTTCCAAGTACATGGTTTTACTCAAGAAATCAATTCCAATAGTAGCTTGATATGTATTATCGAAAGAATCGTACATAAAACGAGTGATGAGAGAGGTTTTTCCAACTGAACAATGAGTTTCAATCAAGGGGATACAAGGAGTAACATACCACTCTGCTCTCCCAAGAAGACCAGCTTAAACTTTTTCAATGGATTACCGAAATCAGACGCCATCACTCTGAAATGAGCCACAATGGTAAAGATCTAATCGGCGTGGATGGTCAAACAAATCAATTAATGCTCAGCAATGTGCAAGGCTTGGTATGGACTACTTCGAGCTGTATTGCTCTCAGAGAACATATCATTCAAATGCAATTAATAAAACAACATATAAATTAATAATAATTTCAAGAAAAGGTTGATTATGAACTTTGTATAACGCCATGTATAGCATCTTATTCATACATAGACTAGTGCTGATGTGTTGGGTGTCCATACTGCTGCTCATCATCGCGTCAAGGGTTTTCGTGGCGGGACCAATTATTTGTTTTTTCAGCGGTTTCTTGGCTAGGATACAAAGTCCGCTTGTACCATGTTCCAGATAAGACATTCTTATCTAAAGAGAGCGTCCAAACTTCAGAATATAGTCCACATGGCTTCATACCATAGTTTTTTCCCTTTCTGTATTGATGTTTTCGTACTGCTACTCCATTTCTCGAATATCCAACTGAGATCTTCTGTATGCATATTTTGTCTTCAGATGCTCGGAAGAAGCTCTTCTTCGTTGAAATCCGCCACTTCTTTGCTTCGTTCTGTACAAGCACGTTCTTCTAGTTCTGGACTGAACTTCCGTAAGGATTTCGCTCTGTTTTTGAATTTTTTCTAATCGATACAGTATTCATTCTCTGTTTTCTTTTAAGAGTTTTCTGATGAACAGAAGCAGCTTCGAGACTCTGTACGCAAGTTCGTTCAGGAAGAAATCATTCCTGTAGCTGGACATTATGACAAAACTATGGAGTACCCATGGGATGTCATGAATAAAGCCCATGCTCTCGGTTTCCTTAACACAGACATTCCAGAGGAGTACGGTAGGTGTTTCCAAGAGTAAGGTCAGCAGCTTCTCATTTTCAGGAGGTATCGGACTTGACCAAATAAGTAATGTAATGGTCAGTGAAGAAATTGCTTATGGATGCTCTGGTTTGTCCTTGAGAATATAAATCTTTCTGAGTTATCAATTAAGGTATCGGAACCGCCATTATGGGCAACGGATTAGCGGAGACTCCTCTGATCCTCTGTGCCAATGATGACATCAAGAAGCGTTACTTGACCAGAATGGTTGAAGAACCTCTTATTGCTGTAAGTAGAGTATTTTCTTGTGATATTTTTGATTTTGTTTAAGGCTTATGCCGTGACTGAGCCAGGAGCTGGGTCTGATGTCGCTGGAGCTAAGACCAAGGCTGTGAAGAAGGGTGACGAATACATTATTAATGGATCTAAGATGTGGATCACAAACGGAGGACATGCTAACTGGTTAGTGTTTTCAAGATTGAAGTATAAGGAACTCACTCATAGGTATTTCGTTTTGGCCCGCACCGACGCTGATCCTAAGTGCCCCTCTGGAAAAGCTTTCACCGGCTTTGTAGTTGACGCTGACACCCCAGGATTGACTCGTGGAAGAAAGGTTTGAAAAAGCCACGAAAAAATTTATGAAAAAATATATCTTAGGAGATTAACATGGGACAACGCTGTTCTGACACTCGCGGGCTTACTTTCGAAGACGTCAGAGTCCCAGCCTCTAACGTTGTTGGAGCTCACGGAGAAGGATTCAAGGCAACTATCCTTATTCAGTAGAAATCTATATTGATTATTAAAGGTTGCCATGAAAACTTTTGATCGTACTCGTCCACTTGTAGCTGCTTTGGCTGTAGGTGTTGCTGCTCGTTGTCTTGATGAGGCTACCAAGTATTCATTAGAGAGAAAGACTTTCGGAACTCCTATCGTCAATGTGAGAATTAATTTGTATTTCCGTGTTGATAAACTAATTTATAGCATCAAGCCATCCAATTCATTCTTGCTGATATGGCAATGAACTTGGAATTAGCCAGACTTATGACTTACAAGAGCGCCTATGAGTCAGAACAAGCTCGTCCCGGATCTTATTACGCTTCCCTTGCCAAACTGTTCGCTTCTGAAACAACTAATCTTGCCGCTACAAACTGTGTCCAAGTAACTGAAGATGTCATTATGAGAATCTAAAAGTTTCTTCTAGGTCTTCGGAGGAGCTGGATTCAACACAGAATACCCTGCTGAAAAGTTGATGAGAGATGCAAAAATTTTCCAGATCTATGAAGGAACTAGTCAAGTCGGTGAACGTTATCGTTCTCTCTCGTATCTTTTGTTTTTAGATTCAAAGAATGGTCATCGCTAGACAATTGCTCGGACGAGTTAAAGCTAACGGAGGATACTAAGAAATTTCAGATTTACACTACGGTTGCATCTTCTTGTACACAACTTAAGCTCCATGATGTATTTATTAATTTATTTCGATTGAAGAAAGAAAGTATTTTAAAGTCAGAGTCTCAAAAATCGTTGCTCATTTTATTATTTGCGTTTATCGCCTTGCTATCTCCTGTTTGCCTTTTTTATGTTTTTTTTAATATGGCTTTGATAGGCATCATGCTTTCCCGTATCTTGCCAAGACTTCATCCTGTTGCCACAAATGTGTCCGCCACTAGATCAATGTCGTTCGGTACGTTATCAGTAAACGACTCGCTTATCAGAATGAACTTTAAGATTTGACCGATACCCAGAAAGAAATTCAACAGACTGCTCTGCACTTCGCCAAAGAGGAACTTGTTCCTATTGCTGCTAAGCATGATGAAACCGGAGAGTTTCCATGGGATATTGTTAAGAAGGCACATTCTCTTGGATTCATGAACCCTCAAATCCCTGAGAAGTATGGAGGACCAGGAATGTCAACTCTTGAAACAGCACTGATTGTAGAAGCCTTGTGCTACGGTTGCACAGGGCTTCAACTTGCCATCATGGGTCCATCTTTGGCCTTGGCCCCAGTTTACATTGCTGGTTCTGAAGAGCAGAAGAAGAAGTACTTGGGTAATTGTAACTTCAGAATGAAAGCTATTATCTCTGAGTGTCTTTAGGATGGTTAGCCGCTGAACCCATCATTGCTTCTTACTGTGTTACTGAACCTGGTGCTGGATCTGATGTAAATGGTGTTCGTACTAAGGTAAAAGAACCTCTTTCATTTTCTTACTGAATTGGAACTTGTTAGGCAGAGAAGAAGGGAGATGAATATATTATCAATGGTAGCAAAGCTTGGATCACTGGAGGAGGACACGCTAAATGGTTCTTCGTACTAGCTCGTACCGACTCTGATCCTAAAACTCCCGCTGGAAAAGCTTTCACTGCTTTCTTGGTTGATGGAGACACACCAGGAATTGTCAGAGGAAAGAAGGTTGGTTCGCATATTCCTCTCTCTCTCTCAAACAGTTGAAGTTCTTCAGGAGAAAAATATGGGACAAAGATGTGCTGACACCAGAACCATCACTTTCGAAGATGTTCGCGTTCCAGCTTCTGCTATTTTGGGATCACATGGTTCTGGATTCAAGGTGATATTCACGTGTTTGGTCATTATACCCGATTTGTGTGCAGGTAGCCATGGGTGCTTTTGATATGACGAGACCTGGTGTTGCTGCTGGTGCTCTTGGCTTATCATGGAGGGCTCTCGATGAATCAGCAAAGTATGCGCTTCAAAGGAAGACCTTTGGAACTGAAATTGCTAATGTAAGTTCAATAACTGAAATGATACATCAGCTACGCTGTTTAGCACCAAGCTGTCCAATTTATGCTCGCTGACATGGCCATGAATTTGGAGCTTTCTCGTTTGGTTACCTACCGAGCTGCCCAAGATGTTGACAATAAGGTAATGATGATGCGAGAAAAAAAAAGATTAGGTGCGAAGAATGATTTATGCTGTTGCACAATGCGAAGCAACCGGTTTGAACGCTGCAACACTTGAAAATGAACGCGCACGTGAAATCCATGTTTATGTTGCGGGCAAATAATAGAGTTATGCTAATTATTCAAAATGACCTAGTTCTATCGCAATTGTTATTTTTTAAGGTGCGATCATCATATTTTGCTTCGATTGCCAAATGTTTTGCTGCTGACACAGCTAACCAAGCCGCAGCCAATGCTGTTCAGGTAATGTCAGCATGTTCTCGATGTTGATAACAGAGTTCTGCAGATTTTCGGAGGAAACGGATTCAACAGCGAATATCCTGTTGAGAAATTGATGAGAGATGCCAAGATTTACCAGATTTATGAAGGAACTAGTCAGGTAAATGTTATGATGATAGTCACTAATAGTGTTATGGAACTACGAAACGAAAGGGAAATGTTTTGAATTTCAGATTCAACGAATGGTTATTGCTAGAATGCTTTTGGGTAACTTCCAACAAACCGGAACTAGCCGTACCAATTGAGGAATGGAGCCATCTGTCATGTTTCATTTGTAAACAATGATCCCCCCTACATATTTATTTATTATGTGTAATTAAAACATCTGTAATTGTAAAGAAGTGACTAAATCATTCGATAGATAGATAAAATTAGTCGATTATGCATTGAAACAATGAGATCATTTTCTTGAAACGCCCATCGTTACACACATGGCATTGTGTGAAGATGGAGAGAAGGAGAAGCAGTTTCGTATGTGACTTGTTGTCATTCGTTTATTGGCATCTCTACGACCCTACGGCGAGGTCGTCTTTCTCTTATTCATAAAGCTTTCTTTAGAAGTTCATTTGAAGTATGAGTATGCTTTTCCTCCTTCTAGTCGGACCATTCAGTTACTTGTTAGCCATATTATTCTTATTTGCTATGTTTAGACGATTAACAGGTAATTATCTTTTCGAACAACTTATCTTGACCTATTCCTTATCTTTTCAGAAAGAATACCTGAAGAGAGAAAACAGTTGCCTTGAACAGACACTTGAACTTGCCTTAACTCTTTCGATCAAGATGCTCATTATGACCAATTACGTGTATTTCCGAATGTTCTGAAAATATAAAGATGTTTTCACTCTCTTAAGCAGTTTGCTACGATACGAATGGTATGCGATTATGAAGAGAAGGGGTGAATCATTCCTTTTATGGATGGTAATGTCATGGAAAAGGTCTTGATGTAACACAGGCTATCAACTTCCTTTCCGATAGCCTTCCAGGAACATAACTGGTCAAACTTTCATTTTTCGTTAAAAAGAGAGAACGAGGATATAGGATATGAAGAGTTTTCTGTTCCCGTAGTTACCCTCTCTGCCCTCCTTCTCTCTCTCTTTATGTCCTTCGGTCCTTTCGTTCTTCTATCTTCCAGCATACAGTCGGATAAGAACTGGGTCAGTCACGGACCATAATCGATCGCATCCATCTGTGAAATACACAATTTCAAGCAATTTATAAAATTTATTTTATGTCTAATTTTGGTTAATACATGTATCAGCTTCTGTCTTCACTCTCGATCACCATCTCAAGATTTCCTTTCATCATCTGTGTTGGCATTGACAACTCGTGTTGTGTGTTGTCCGAACTAGACAGGTCTGTCCGGTAACCTTCGGAATCAATACAAAACCCTCTTTTCATGTTTTATTTCAACAAAATTTCATTTTTCTCACTTATCACAAATCCCAACCAACAACAACAACCAAAATCTCTTTTTACGAAGACTGTTCTCTCGTTTCTCCTTTTCCTTCAACTAGGCAGTCTGTAACCGACCTCAATTGCCCTCCATTTCTTCTATTGCAATCACAACAAAACTCTATAATTCGAGTGTTCGTCAGAATTTCATAGAAAGAGTTGTGTCTTTCAACTTGAAATTCCATGTTATGTTCATTTTCTTTTTGAGTTTCAGTTAAATATTGGATGAAGACATCATTTTTCCGCTGTGTTAACCCTTTTGGGATTCTCCAAGATTTCTTGGCTCACTGCTTCTATAACTATGGTCTCTATATCAGTAAGCATCCTAAGATGTTTGCTCTTGGTCCTCTCATTTTGACATGCATTCTTAGTTTTGGCATTTTGAATGTTCGCATGGAGGTAAGAAGTTGTTGATGACTTGTTCTTGTCATTCACGTCACCTTACTAGGATGATCTTCGGTTTCTCTACTCACCAGCTAATTCAAAATCTCGTCTTGAATACCAAGTTCATAAAGCTTTCAGTGGTGACTCATTGAATAAGTATTTTATCTTTTACTTTATCTTTCCAATTATTTCTTCAGTTCTTTCCTCTCCATCACAGTCGAATCTAAAGATGACGATACGAATTTGCTTAATAAGGATAGGGGACAGCTTATCAAGAAGTTCAATAGATTCGTGTTAGAAAACATGACTATCACCTTAGATGGTCAAACGGTACTTGACTACACGATACATGTTTCATCTCATATCTTTCTCTTCCTCAGATCAATTTCGGAAATGAAGTTTGCCCCAAGTTGAAACAATGTACTCTGTCGAATACCATTGTTGATATCTTCATGGATACTTTCTGGAGCACCAAGGTTTATTTGGCACTTCTTCATTCTCTGCTATAACTGGATGCTTTAGTTACGAAGTGATCCGAGAATCAAGTTCGAATATCCAACTATGAAATTCTTCGAGACTAAACTCTTCCTTCCAACTCATTTCTATGGAGTTCAGGAAGGGGGACCGTTAGGTATGGAAAGAATTGAAATGATTCATCTCATTTATCAAATACCATCTTATGAACAGGTAATAGATGACAAAAATAAAAATATTGATGACTTGACTCATTCAGCATACCTCAGAGGAAGTGTCAAAAGCCTTTGAACTTTCCCTCCGTGAAATTCTCAACCGAGATGGTTTTCCTTTCAAAACTTCCGTGTTCAGTCTTTCTATACTAAAAGATGAAATGCAGAAGAATGCCACTTATACTATCCCATTCATATCCCTCACTATTCTGTTACTTCTGAGTTTCACTGTAGGATCCTGGTTAGCTCCTTTTCCATTTCATTGGCACAACCTTGTTCATTCAGCATGACAGGTGATTGGGTGACATCTAAGCCCATAGAAGCGATGATAGGTATCTTAACTTCTTCGATGGCTATCATAAGTTCTGCTGGTATTCTCTTCGCACTCGGAGAGCCATTTATTTATCAGGTTTTCTTTTTTTTCGGTGTTCGTAGAAGAAGAAAAAATTCAGGTGACCGTTATGCCTTTCATAGCACTAGCCATAGGTGTAGATGACGTTTATGTCATGTTAGGTGCTTGGCAAGATACAAAGAGAACGTTACCTCCAAACAAACGTATGGCATTAGCATTAGAAGAAGCAGGAAGGTGAGTTCCCTATCTCTCTTCAAATTAAGGAAAGTTTTTTTTAAAGTGCAATCTCCGTTACCTCCATCACATCTATACTCTCATTCGGAATCGGAACATTCTCTTCCACACCCGCCATATCAATTTTTTGTAGATTTATATCGGTCGCAGTTTTATTTGATTGGTTTTATCAGGTTGAATCCAATTGCATAATTATAATTTGAACTCTTTTGCAGTTGACATTCTTTGCCGCGGTTATGGTATTGGGTGCTCGACGCGAGTCAGCAGGGTACCATTGTGTTTTTGTTTGGAAGAAGTGTCCCAAGGAAGAAATAGCTAAAGTTTATCATTGAGTGAAATGATTTATAGACTCATAACTTATTCAGGCAAAAGAACCTGATGCCATGTCGCCTACCAGACATTTCTTTTCCAATATTTTCGCTCCCATCATATGCCATCCACTAGTTCGTATCGCTCTGGTATCTCTCTGCTCCCGAGCTTCTCCCTTCTATTCATCTGAATTATAGTTCTTCACCTATGCTGTGTATATCATTCTGGCGTTTTATGGATGTTCTTTGCTTCATCCTAACTTGACTCCATCCAGACTGGTATAATCTATCTCTGCATTAGTCCATACAACTCAGATTTAGGTCGTTGATGATTCTCCTCTCATCGATTATTTGCATTTGGCTGAGAACAAAATTTGGGCCGAAGGCTTAATTGGAAGAGTTTACGTTACCAATGCTCCTGATTTTAGGAAGAATCCAGAAAAGGTAAGCCTTGTTAGTATATAGATGAGGCGATGGATTATTTGCAGATTGAGACTTTCCTTCAAATGGTGCACGAGCTTGAGACTACTCCATATTCGATGGGACCAAACTCTACTTCCCTTTGGCTTCAAGACTTCAACCACTACCGACAGTTCTTCACAGAAGGAGATGACAGGTAGGACTATCTATTCAACATATCCTAGTGATATCTCTGATCCAGATTCTATCACACCTTGAAGTCGTTCACACAAGTTTCATTCAACAATCACTGGGAAACAGATCTGCAATGGACCACTGATGCAGTAAGCCGGAGAGTGTTGAATGAAAAACCTTTGGCTTTTCCAGAAAGGCGAACCAGTTGTTGACAAGTTTATGTTCACGACAGCCTTCAAGATTGCAAGTTGGAATGTTCGTACAGAGCTTCTGCTCATGTGGAGGAATATAACATCCCATTACCCTGAATTCCAAGCATTGGTTTTTGACGAGAACAACTTTTACAGTGACCAAGTAGTTTCCCCTCTCGTACACTCATACATCATGTCATCGTTTATAGATGTTGGAACTCCAAACAACTACATTACAGTCCTTGGGAACAGCTATTCTGACGTTGATCACAGGTTAGTTACTGTACAGATCTCTGTTCTATACTTTCCATTAAGTGTGTATTGTGTTTGTTGCTGAATCTCAGATCGTATTCTGGGTAGTTTTCACTTTGATTTCAATGGATATAGGAACGGCAGGTTTTCTCTCGTTATGGGGTGCTGATCTTGACCCAACGACAGTAGTAAACATATTGGTAACACTCTCACTGTACAGTACACAAACCCATTAAGTAACTTCAGATGTCAATTGGCCAATGCATTGATTTCGCTACTCACGTCGGCTACAGGATATATCGTTCAGAGTTCACAGATCCGGATGAAAGAATCCGAGATGCTCTGGGAGCAATTGGATGGCCAGTTCTCCAGGCTGGTACTTCTACTCTTTTAGGTTTGTTTGAATATCAGTATGTTATCTCATTGAATGTTGCATAGCTATTGTCGTGATGATACTTGTTCCTTCGAATGCAGTTCGAATGTTCGCTAGAACATCCGTGCTTGTCGTAGCAACTGGTTTGTTCCATGGTCTTCTGATTTTGCCCATAACTATAAGGTATCTTAATGAAAGTCTATACGAAACTGATATGAATGTATTCAGAACGTTTGCCAGTTCAGCGAAAGCACGAGACTCAACTGCTGTTAAACACTGACTGTAGGATGATGCCGTCAGTCATCCAGAGAGATATACGTGTGCGTATTTGGTGCCAAACTACTGTGAAAAGCTTTTTAGAAAACGTATATAGTTAATTGAAACATCTACTTAATAACATTGTGATTAGTTTATTTATGAAACATACATGGATATGATCACTCTTTCAAAAATCTCAAAACTTTCGAAATTATATTTGCTGGTTCAGTAATGTTGAAGTTGCTTCTACTGGTGTACATTGATGATGCCACTTTATAAATTATTGTTTTCACTTCTTAACTATATGTAAGCATATGAAGAGTAAAGGTACAATCACAATAAGGGCCAAACAATCATTGCCATCACATCCGAATGAGCTGGAGCATTCCTTGACGCAAACTAAACCAACTTGATATGAGCTTGACGTGAGAAAGCTCTACGCTGTCTAACACCTCATTGAATCAGAAAATGGTGACTCAAATAGCTTTAAATTGTTTTTGTAACAGATAAATTTAGAAAAAGGATAGAAAAAATCAAAAAGATGTGAAGATTAGAGAGAAGATGGCAGGTGACAAGTCTCACTAATCGATTATTTCCAGCTCTTTCCTCAGCACCAGCACAAGTTTATCATTTCCTTCCTCTCATCACGCAAACAGATACTCAATTTTTTGTGTCTGATCTCTCTGACCCATCTGGTAAGCTCGTTCACCGTCTTGTTCTTAAGAGATAGACCAAATTACCCTTCCTTACCATGTTTATCATCTCTTGAGACATCCGAACCATTCGGACTCTTCTCCGCCGATCACACCAAAACATTCAGTTTCATTTCTTCTCAGAAGTTTCAGAATTGTATTTCGAACATTCTAATCGTTAAGCTAATCCGTAATCATTTGTACCTCTTCGTATTCTGCTTGTGTGTGATTCACTCAGATTGCTTTGTGTTCGTTAGGCTACTGAACCATTCAGCTCTTACTCTAACAGTCTCTTAAACGTTATGCTTATGATGATCTGCTTTGAATGCCCAAAGCTATGTTTTCTTTTTTCTTCCATTTCGTTCAGTAGGAGTGAGTTCTAAGCTTCAATCCACCTATATCACTCCTTCCTCTCCTACAACTCGTAAGGAAGAGGAAAATGTGATTTGGGAAAGTCGTTTGACGCAAGTTGTAAATTATGTGAGCCGCAGCCCAAACAATGAAGAATTGCAGACTATCAACTATGAAATTCAGAGACAATCCACCTGTTGTAAGTATTGTTGAGCGGAGGAGAGCATGTTCTCTCCTAATCAGCTGAAAGACTCAAGAACTTGTATATAAATCAAAGAAAATGAAGAAGGAGAGGAAACCTCATTTTCTAAATTAACGTTTTTGATTGTTTTTGAAAGATAACTGAAAGTCTTTGTTATATTCGGTTGAAGCTGTTCATTATCACACACGAATGATCCCTCTTCTCTTGCTCTCTCTCCATATATCTTTCTCTCGCTCTTTCATTATCTCTGTCAATCTCTGACTATCAGTCATATCCTTCAGTACAATCTCATTCGTCTCATTATCTTTTGACTCTCCATTTCATGTTCTGTTCCTTAACGTTAACTCTATAATTCTTTCTTTATGACTTGATCCAAAGTGATTTTGCTTCCTTTATATCTCATCTTGAACCTCATTGCATTCGAACTTCGATTTCATTCGATCTTACACCTGCTTAGATCATAGATGAACCACAGATTGAAGCTAGTTGTGAACGATCATGATAATATTGTGAACAAGATGATCACACTTATGATCGTTTAAGCTTCTCAGAAGCTGAGGCAATGAAGCTGTGTGCAATAAATTTATATTTTGACTGCCAGTGAATGATTGGATCAGAAGAAGTGACGAATGGAAGATGTGAAAAAACGATTCTCTTTTTCATCTCTGAATGTAAAATGCTTCTGTCATCATCTCAGGGTTTTATTGAAATCACTCACTCCTCGATGTAATTTGAGATTCAACTACCGTGTGAGCTTAGATTATGAGTCAATCTGTACTTCTTTCAACTTTCCTTTCATTCAAACTTCTTCTTTTTTTCCCGAAAAATCATGTTTCTGTCAGTCAGATAAGACAACTACGTCTTAACCACAAGGCAGAGACACAGTTGCTTTTCAGACTGAAATTCATTCGTCTGAAACTGAACTTCATGTAGTGTAACACTTACATGTAAAGTAAGACTCACAAACTCATTGCTCAAGCTGTATCTATGTCATCTGAATTGTGTTTGTTAACATAGACGTGAAAGTGATAGCATATCTTCACTGGAAGTCATTCCCAAAATGAAAATGACCAGATGATCTATCATTTCATTTGCAATATGCTCTAGCAATTAGAGTTGGAGCGTTAGTAAACAAAGTTAGGAACTGGATGCCATCGCATAAGTAATAGCCTGTTGATACTAGTTTCATATGTCCCCAGACTGTCTGGTCTTACCTACCTTTCCCACATTATTTTTCTTTTTTTCAATCACATACCTCATAGAGAAAGAATCTTTATGAGCAATGAAGATAAATTCAAATGGATAACAGTGATTAAGCGAACATGTTTGATTGGTTGTTGACATGGCTGCGTGGATCATTTGGTCCCTTAACGAGGTACGAGTTCATTCCTTTAAAAGAGACAAGATAGTTATGATAACATCAGTACAAACCTTATTATGTCCAAGTGCTCTGTACTTCCAGCTCATTCACTTCATTGCTTCTCATGCTTTGGCAACTAAGCTTAATAGTTCGTTAATGAGAGCCAAATGAGGAAGAACGCATGATTTGATAGCTTTTCTTTCATCTTAACCGATTCTGAATAGCTAGTAGCGCTTATGAAGTGATAATCATCAATCATTCTCTTATAATTACCATGACCAGGTTATATACTATGTTGTTCGACAATTTGTTGAAAGATGGCGAAAGAAAAACGTTATTTACACTATATTCTTATCCTGTGATGCTATTGAGCTGTTTGAAAACACATGTTTCCTTCTAAAAGACTTTGTCTTTCATTTCCGTCCTCTTCTCCATTCTCCATCTGTATTCTCTCTCTCTCTCTCAACCTCTACCTCTCTCTCTCTCTCTCTTTTTGAATCTTCATCCCGAGATGATGAAGGGAAACTCTTGTAGTTCAAATGAGATGATATGAACGTAAGCTGCAAGAGTCTATTGAAGAAGCATTGAAAGATGAAAGAGATGGGTTGTTTCTATTTCTTATCATTCTTCTTCTTTTTTTTGTGTGTATGTCATCATCATGTTCATCTTGATGTATTCTGTAAATTATCAGAATATGTAACGACTTACATCTCCATCAACTGTAAGAGATCATTGAGATATAAGAGATTTCAATGAATATAAGAAGAAAACGAGTGAATGGAGGAGGATGAGAGAAGCAGCTAGATGATCTATCTTTCTACAGCTTCTTCAATTTGTTTGTATCAATTTTTTAAAATAAAATACTGATTAAATGAGTTCGAACAGCAACATAAGAACACAACTGAATGTCACATTCATCAGACGTGTTGTGTGTTGCTTCGCACACCGACAAATCACGTTTTCTTACAAATTTTCTTTTAAAAAATCTTTTTTTTCTTTTTCTTCTTCTTCTTCACTTTCTACTTGATCGTTTGGTACTTGAGCTCAGACGTACGTTCAATTCAGTTGTCTTTACAAGTTCATAATAGGATCCGCTAACTGATATACACAATGAAATGAAGGAAAATGAAGAAGGAAGGCATAGACAAGCCACTAGGAGAGATGAAGCCTTCCCAAACAAATTCTCTTTTTCTTTCTTCTTCTTCTTCTTCTTTTTTTCTTCCAAAAAAGGGATTATTGTGATCCTTTACATTTCTACTCATTCTCTTTATTAATTAACTTTTCTTTTTCAATAGACTTTTCTCTTCAAAATACCACAAAATGCAAATGATGAAGGAAAAGCTCTTCTAACATCATCCATTCTCTATTCCACCCCTCACCTCTTCTCATTATCTTTTCGTTGTCTTCATTATCACTTATGTTTCAATCATACTCATCATCACTGTCATTCCTGTTAGTAATACTATACAATGCTGTTTAGCATAACACGTCTTCCGTGTTTGCGTGGAATCTCACGTAACATCCTTCCTCATTCATACTTCCATTGACGTGGCGAACGGTTGCTTTCATAACCAAAACTATCAATAGTTAAACATTCCTATCGATACTTTCTTTAACTATATGTAGAGATGAAGAAAATGAAATGAAAAGAGTGAGAGAGGGTTAGAGAGCAAGAGAATTACAGAGAGAATGATAAAGAGAGTAAGAGTTATGAGGAGAGAACGAAAGTGACAGACTAGAGAGGCAACCTGATCTCAGCTGTTTCAAACTGACTTCAGAATACTTCATTGCTCCATTAAAGTATTTTCCATTTTTCTTAATTCAATATCATTTTCATTTTCAAAACTATTTCGTTTTTCAAAAATAGCTTTTGAAATACTATTATGAGGATTATTGGATTTGATCAAATGTCACACATGGCTTCTAACCCAGCTTATATCTCGTATAACAAACGATATTAACTGGATATTAGAAAACTTGTTTAGTTAGTCGGCTTCATCTATAAACTATGCCATACTTTGATCCACTTATGGCTTTTTTCATCTATTTTCTGCTCGCTTTCCGTCTTTTGCATTGTGCCATTGCTTTTCATCTGTATGCTCTGCTCAGTTACGGATCTGGAATATCTAAAGAGTTACTTTACTTCTTCTTATACCATATAATCTCTTTTTCCTTTTTTAATTAAAACTCCTTCACTCTCCACCTTCTTCTCTCTCTTCATCTCACTTCCCATCTCTCTCTCTCTCTCTCGCTCTCTATCTTTCCCTCCCTTTCTCTTCTTTCTATGGAAGATGAAACCTACCATAGCTTGACAGTCTACACTCTTGTTTGCTTTTTATCGTTCAAGAACCTGAGGTTTCCATCGAAAATTCCCTTTTAAATCTATCGTCTCGTAGAAATATTTTCTGATCGAGAAA